AGAATTGCTTTTTAGTTACGGTGTTGGAGGACAATATTGAAAGTGCCATGGGCTGTCAAAAGAACCAACAGATCTGTGTTGGAAGAAGTGCAGCCAGAGTGCTCCTTGGAGGCCACGATGGCCAAACTTCGTCTCTTATATTTTGTTCATATTGTCAGGAGGGACCAGTCACTGCAGGATATCATGTTTGTAAGGTGGAGGGTCAGAGAAAAAGAAGAAGATCCCTAGCGAGATGGATTAGCCAAGTGGCAGCATCAATGGGCTCAAGCGTGGCAACAATAGTGAGGTTGGCCCAGGATTGGGCAGTGTTTCGTTCTGTTGTGTATAGGGTCACTATGAGTTGGTACTGACCCAATGACACCTAACAACATTCACTTTTTATGCCAAGCAAACAATCTGAGAAGCTAGATTACATGAAGAATGAAGTATATCAACTAAAAGGAGACTCATTAATCTGAGATATGCAGATGACAGAACTTGGCTAGCTGGCAGAGAAGAAGACTTGAAATGTTGATGAAGATCAACATCTAAGGCTTCAGTATGAACTGCTCCTCAATGTAAAAACAAAAATCCTCACCATTAGACCCCCAAACAACATCATAATAAATGGAGAAAATATTGAAGTTGGCAAAGACTTCATTTTGCTAGAATCCATAATTATTTTTCATGGAAGTGGTGGTAGGCCGTGGAGTCGGTTCTGACTCCTAGTGACCGTGCATAGAGTTTCCAAGGCTATAAAGCCTCATCTTTGTCCTGCGGAACGCCTGGTAGTTTTGAAATGCTGACCTTTAGGTTAACAGCCCAACTCATAACCAAGATGCTACCATAACTTATGGAAGTAGCGATCAATAAATGTCATCTTGCACTAAGCAAATCTACAGCAAAAATCCTCTGTAAGGTGTTAAAATGCAAAATTGTCAGTTTGAGGGACTAAGGCACACCTGATTTATTTAATTCATGGTATTCTCTATTACCTCATAGACATGTATGATGAATATGGATGACCATAGACAAACTGGTGCATTTTCATTTGGTGATTGTAAAGAATACTGAAAATACCATGAACTGTCAGGAGAACAAACGTCCCGTGGAAGAGGCACAGCCAGAACGCTCCTTAGACATAGGATGGGGAGACTCTGTTATGTGCTTTGGAAATGTTGCCAGGAGAGACCAATCTCTGAGAGTAAGACCCCAATGATACGGAATGATACAATGGCAGCATCAATGAGCTCAAATGTAACAACAGAGGTTGGCAGAGGACTGACAGTGCTTCATTCTGTGGTGTAGGAAGACACTATTTTGATAGCATCTAAGTACAAAAACAAAGGAGCTCTGGTAGTGTACTGATTACGAACTGGGCTGCTAACCTTAAGGTCAGCCGTTCGAAACTACCAGCTGTTCCACAGGAGAAAGATAAGGCGTTCAGCTCCTGTAAAGATTTGCAGCCTCGGAAACCCTGTGCAGGGTCACTATGAGTCAGAACCGACTCCACGGTACTTACCAAGTACAAAAACAACTACATAAATAAAAGAGAAAGTTCTCCTGGAACAGTGGAGTGATTAGAATGCAAAAGTTGGGGGGAAAAAAGAGGAAGGATTGGTAGTTGGAAAATATGACCTTGGTGATAAAAACAATTAATTTTGTAATTCCTGCCAGTTTCTATATTGAATGCAAATTTTTGCTGAAAAATGCAGGGGTTCGCTTTATATTAGGTGATATTGGAAAAACAGCCTTTATGAACTTTCTAAGTTAGATGCACTGAACATTAATGACCAACGAGCTGATAAGTTGTGCCATTACATCCAGAACACAGTACATGAAGAAAGCAAAAAGTCGTTAAACAGGAAAGCAGAAGACCAAAGTGGGGTCAGTCAGGAGAGAGAGACGCAAAAACGTGCTTGAGAATATAAAGTAACTAAAGCAAATGGAGGGGATGAAGATGTAAAAGAGCTGAACCAAAAATGACAAGGGTAGCGAGAGAAAAACAAGTAAAAAATTAAAATTAAATGTACAAAAACCTGGTGTTAGGAAAGCAAAATGGAGAAACACACTCAGCATTTTTCAAGGTGGAAGGACTGAAGAAATAATTCAAACCTCGAGTTGAAATACTGAAGTGTTTTATGGGAAAAATCTTCCTCCAATTGGATTGGAAGACTCATTAACAGTCTGTGATACGCAGATGATACAACTTTGCTTGTTGGAAGCAAAGACGACTTTAAATATTGATGAAGATCAAAGACAACAGACTTCAGTATGAACTGCAGCTCAATGTAAACAAAAGTTCTCATAACTGGACCAATAAATAACATCATGATAAATGTAGAAAAGATTAAAATTCTCTAAGACTTCATTTTTCTTAGATCTGACAGCAACATTCCTGGACGAAGCAGTCAAGAAACCACACGACTTATTGCACTGGGCAAATCTGCTGCACAAGACCTCTTTAAAGTGTTCAAGAGCAAAGCTGTCAATCAGAGGACAACTGACTCAAGGCATGGTATTTTGAATAATCTCATACGCATGTGCAAGCTGGACAATGAATAAGAAGACCCTATGCAGGGTCACTGTGAGTTGGCACCGACTTAACTTTAACAACCATCTTTAGAGTCAGACTGCCACAGGTTCCTCCCAGGAAGCGTCTGGTGGATTTGAACTACAGACCTTTCAGTTTGCTGCCGACTGCCTAACCATTTGCCATGATTCTTTAGCTAGACAATGTCTTTATCTACATATACAGATTTTAAGAAGTGACGAAAAGGAGTCTACCATGCTTTATATGATTGGGGAGAGAAAAAGTCTTTGAAAATCAAAATGGAAAGAAATGGTATTTGTGCAATCTTTAAAACACAAGTTATTCCTTTAGAAATAGCCACAGCCTTTTGTTTCAAAGGCTTAGATGACAAGAAAATTGGAGGAGAATGAAGTGTAGTCAGCCTACATGAGTGGGTTGTTTCTTAGGTGGTCGTGGAGGGGGCCAGGCGTCTCCATGGACTGCTGTTCAGTGTCCACGAAGTGACGGTGTCATATTCATGGAGCTTTCCCATGACTGCCTTCACCTGCACTATTGCCTCTGGCCTGAATCTCTCCAGGGCACAGGCTCCAGTCTTTGAGTTCCTCCAGGATTTCCCTCTGGCTGCTATTTTTCTGGGGTGCTGGGGACTCAACTCTATGCCATCCTCCTCTCTCAGGTGTGTTTAAAGCCCAGTCCACATAAACAATTTCATAAATAAAGGAAAACTATGCTTTGCAGAAATCGAAATAATGTATATAAATGCAGAGTTGGAAATTGAAACCCATGGGCTTCTCTGTGGGAATACAATGAGATGATCTGCTCCCATAAAGATTTACAGTTTTCGAAACACCATATCGGGTTGTTATGAGTTGGACCTGACTCGCTGGGTGTTTGATTTTTTGGTTCAACACTGGTATAAACAATTTAGTAAAAAAATAAAGGAGATGGGAAGCTATTTCTTGTAGAACTCCAAATAATATACAGACAAAATGATTGGAAAAGACAATACCGTTTATTAGACAGCAGAGGAGTAATAATCGAAGGTAATTATCTATAGGAACTAAAATTAGTAGGCCAAATTTGATGAAAAGAAGAATATTTGCAGTCTCAAAGTTTTATCCTTTAAGAAACATACTCATTCTAAAAGGTGAAACAGGTAACTTTACAACAAGAAAGAGTGAAGAGAAATGCGAAAATTAAGGAAACAAAGTAAAACGCTCTTATACCAAATATAAGATCAATTTATTTTATGGTATAAAAAATAACATTAAGAAAGAAAATCATAAAATCAGATGTTCAGAAATTTCCTGTTTGTCATTATACAAGTCATGTTGAAACAAACATTCCAGTGTTGCCAAAATTGTTACCTCAACTGAGATGCGAGTAATGACTAATGGGCTTCCCACGTTCTCTGCGTTCACGGGGCCTCTATCCATTATGAGTTATTATACATGTAGTTAGGGCTGAGATGTGCCTGAAGGTCTTCCCACATTCTCCACAATCACGGGGCCTCTATCCACTATGAATTATTACATGTGTAGCTAGGGCTGAGACCTGCCTGAAGGCTTTTCCACAGTCTCTGCGTTCACGGGGCCTCTATCATTATGAGTCATTACATGTGTAGCTAGGGCTGAGACCTCCCTGAAGGTCTTCCCA